TGGATGGAATGAGAAATACATTTCTATGCTTCACCTCTAAAGAGACTTAAATCTACAGTGGGAAAATAAATATTGTGGTTCTTTTATGGGCTACAAAGGGGGAACAAAATGGCAATCTGCCCTCTGTCTATCTTCCTTGCCCTCCGACCTTAACTTATTGTCATAGGACTCGCACACGTTGCAAGGTCCAAGCAGCTTAACTAATGACAATCTCAGGGCCTGGAGGGTAGTTCTGTGGCATATCTACCTTGACCCACCTCTAGGGTCCTGTTGATAGGGGTTTAATTCAGCTGCATGCAATCTGGCTGTTCTTAAAACTAGGAAGTGCCCTTTAACCCACCTTATTTTTTTTTTTCGAGCAACAAAGCTCAGGGCAGGGGTAGGTTTGAACTACACAGACCCTCTGGACAGACTGAATCAGAGAGGAGCCTTTATTTATTTCAATGAACACAGACAAACTATAGCCATAAGGCTACTGTGGTGAAGGCACACCAGCTTCTATAGCCAAGAGCACACAAGGGAAGAATATGGCTAGCACTGCACCCACCTGCTTTCGACTCCCAACCCAAACAACCAGGGGCCTGTTCAGCTGCTGGATTGACTGGAGACCTGTGTCAAAGGCTGCCTGAAGTAGGGCTGAACTCACATCTCTGGAATCAGAGTAAGAGGTCTTAACTTCTAGGGCAGCACTCCCACACGGGCTGGGTGTCAGGTAGGGAATTAAGTGCAGGTCTTTTAGGTAAGCTTTTAAAATGACCGTGTCTTCACAGGCCCTAGGTATGTTCTGTAAATGCAGACATTTGCTCTAGTCTCTGTGACCAAAGCTCTTCCTGTGATGCCAGTTATTTGCCAGGGGGCTGCACCCCACCAGCAGGGGTGCTTCATCAAGCTGAAAGGACTCCTGAAGATCCAGAATTTGAGTCTTCTGGTTGCAAGTCTCTACGGACACAGAAGCTTGGATTCTCTCCTGGAGATCAAAGAGAAACGGTTTGCTTCATTGCTGGAGCGGAAATCTGATCTTAAACACAGCCCTGCCAGCCCTGGAAATATCACTGCTGCATGGAGATCCTGAACAATGGGGCTTCTTTGTCATAACAAGGGCAATTGAACCATCAGCTGTTAATGCCTTTGGAAGTGTCAAGGAGTTTGCTGAGTGGAAAAAACAGAGTTCCTATATCCCACTGGAGAGATTGAAACTGCAGAGTAGAAAGGGCTCCCTTTCCAGGTCAGTGGTATTAAGCCCCAGCCATGCTCTTAAACAAGAAAGAATAAATGAAGCGGAGCAATTAAGTGCAGGTCATTTGGGGGCCTGGCAGGAAAAGAGTCGGCTGCCACTTTCCAGATGGCTCTGGGATTTGGGGGAAGACTGGTCGCCCCCAGTCCAGGCTCTTAAAAGATAGAGAAAAAAAAGCAAGAGAGCAAGCCCTGAGAGTTAGTGTGGCCTGAATGCCTGGAGCAGAAAAAGCAAGTCTTGGATTTCAGCACACACAGCCCGCGCAGGAATTCCTTTGGCCCGTGAATGTCACACTTCAGCCAGGAGCCCCTCAGGCCCTGTTAGCAATAACATCAGTGCCTGAAAGTTAACTGGGATTAGGAGAGGATTTCTGCAAATGCTGCCTCCATAAAAGAGGGTGGAGCTTTTCCAGCCCAGCCTGGCTGGGGGAGGCACAAAGGCAGGAGTGCCATAACGCTGAGAGCAACAGGCATTCAGCTCTTGCTTGCCCTGCTCAGGTGGCTGTCTTCCATTGAAGTGGCTGGCGCTGCTCGTGCTCCTGTCACCAGCAACCTCCTGCTGATGCTTTGGGTTCTGGAGGAGGAAGCTGGGTTACGAGTGGCAGGGCTGTGCTCCCCCTCTTCACTCACTCCCGTGTCAGGGAAGAGCCCTGCCAGGTGGCATCCTCAAGCTCTCAAGATCTTGTCTCAGCATTGCAGGTGCCATCTGCGGTTCTTGGCTTAGCTCCCCCCCCCCATCATCTGAATCTAGAGCACATTTGTTTCACATCAGATCACCACCCAGCCCCTCAATCCTGTTCTCGCAACAGTTGGCTGCAGTTTTGTTGAGACTCTTCCCCTCGGCTTGCAGGATAGGCCACTGCTCTTCTCAAATGCCCAAAGCTCGGGGCACGCTCTGCCCCAGCATTGCTCACAAGCTGAAAGCATGCTTGCTCTGGAGCGCCTGGAAAGGAGGGACTGAGCTCTAACTCCAGCAGGAAGTCCTGCCTGGAGAGAGCTCAGGCAGGCTTTGCAGTTCTCAAGCAGTGTGACAAACCCAGGGGCCACTGGGTGGAAGGAATTCTGCTGCTCGGTGCTGGTGGGTGTTGTAACGAGGATGGAGGTTTCAGTCCAGCTGTCAGCACCATAGCAGCCACCCAGCAGCATTCAGCAGTGCTCAGGTTTAAGGCTGGAGTCTGGGCACTGATTCAAAGCACATCACACACCCTTTTGCACCCTCCCAAGAACAACACCAGCTTAATTGGGGCAGCCAAGCACTGCTTGGTAAGCAGAACAGCTCTCCCACAGCCTCCCCTAGGCGGTCCATAGGGGCCTATTAGTTGGTGGCCCTGAAATCTGTGCATTATGAGCATTCAGATAAGGTTAAGGAGATTCCTGGTGTCCGTGGGCATTTCTCAGCCTTCTGCTGCCCACAGCCCCCGATGAAATGCAGCATGGCTTGTGTGGCTGAACTGGTGAGTGGGGGAAGGTCAGATGCCAGAAACCAGGAGGAGGCTTCCATCTGGTTTAATGCTGGCCCAGCTATCAGCTGCTGAGCAATAGGCCAGTGGTGCCAACTGTCAGGTCTAGGCATCAACGCTGGCACCCTAGGGTCACTAGGAAGGCAGGCAAGGCCAGAGATGCTGGGCTGACCCCCACGGTCCAACCCATGGAGGTGAGAGAGGGGAAGCTCCTCAGTGGCTTTCACAGCCTTGTCCAGATCAGCTTTCCCCTCCGAGATGTGGGTCCGGTGGGACTGGAGGCACCTCCTCCCTTACCAGCGCTGCTGAGCAACGTGGTGGTTAAGGGAGCATGCCAAGCCACCCACACTCAGCTGAGCCCGGCCACTCTCCACCTGCTCATGGGTGGGTGGCCAGCACCATTTTGGAGGCAAATTCTAGCACAAAGCACCTGGGCTCTTATTTAATGCTGCCCTCCTCCAAATATTTCTTTATGTCCTGAGCAGCCTCCCACAAGCACACCAGCTGTAACTGCCTACTCTGCTTGTGCCTGCAGGCAAGGGGCTGCTGCACTCTGCATGTAGCTGGCTGTAGGCTTCATTAGGAATATTAGCAGGACTTACTAAAGTCTTGATGACCTTCCTCACTCCAGAGCTCAGCTTCTCTCCGCTTGTGCAGCTCTTCAACTGTGCCAGACTAGAGATGGATTGGTAAGACCCCACAGGCCTGTTTGGTGTATTTGGGATGACACAGCTCTGGACATGCGCCCCTTGCTGTGTGGGAGCAGTGGGATACCTTTTGGGTGCATGGTCTCTGTGGTGAAAGAGTTGGTCAGTAGCTGACATCAGTACCTGAGGATCCAAGGAACTGAGCCCCCAGGGCTGTGATAGGAGGCACAAGGAGCTTCGAGTATCTCTCTTCAACCAGGTACCAAAAACCACACCACCAGGCAGAATGCGGGTAAGCCTGGCAGCCGGAGGGGAAGCCACAGCCCCTGTTCTTCTAGCAGCTGAGTGTGAAGTGTGGGCTCATTATCCCTTAGGAACTCACAGTGGAGGAAGATTTCATGGGGCCTGCCCTTAAATTCAGGTAGAATCAGGCCTCATTTGGCACTGACGCAGCTTTCCCTACCACCACTCCTCCGATTGCACCACTGCTGCTACTCAATGAGGAATCAGATGGGGGCTTGTTGGTTGCACGTGACAGTGCCCTTTTCCTTCCTTACAGACCCACTGCCTGCCTGGGAGGAATACAGCCAAATCCTGTAAGTCCCTTGCCTACTCAGGGAGAAGAAACTCAGTCACAGCTGGGTTTTGGATCTGCGAAGCCCAGTTAGGGGAGATTGGCAAAAATTCCCAGGGGGATGTACCATGGGGCGGAGAGGTTTCCTGCTGACTGTTGCCCTTCTGTCTCTGCTGAGGGTCAGGATGCAGAGCAGAGACCAAGTCTTCCTTGAGGACTCACTTTGCTGGATGCCCTCAAGACTCACGGACCTGTTTCTGCCCACACAGAGCAGCCCAGGTCTGTTTTGCACATTTGCCAGCACAACGCCTATCAGCTGGGTGTGAAGAGGTGCAATTCCTGCCTGTCTTGCCTGAGTTAGTAAAAGCCCACAGCAGAGAGGCAGTTACACTAGCCATGCCAAACTTTTACTGATATAACTTGGTTTGCTCCTGAGGGATGGATTTACTACACCAGTGCTTGTCACAGCTGTGCACAGGACTTTGGGTGAGGAAGGCTCTGCTCCCTTTCAGATGAACCAAGCAAGGGCAGGGTGTTGGCCATTTGGGAATGGGGTGCTTTGCCAGGAAGGGCCTGGGTGTTGCTTCTGTCGTAGGACATCTTGGGCAGACACCCAGCACCCAACAAGCTCACTCCAGGCATGTCTATACTGCATCTGTAGCACCCTTAAGAGTGCCATTGAGAACCAGGTCCCACCCCACCGCTGAAGCTCTACAGGTCCTAAGCCCTGAAGTGAGTCAGTTGAGGGTGATGCCTGCTGCTACTTTCAAGCCCCAAATATGGCTACAAGCAGAGCTTGAGATGTGGAGAGTGGTAGCAAGGGCTCAAAGACCCCAGCAGCTCAGGCCTGGGAGGAGGCAGCAAGGCTCAGCACCTGCCAGGAGGTGTCATGGTGGCAAAGTTCCTCCGTACTCACTCTGGCTGTATTCACAGTGGTGGTGACTGGTGCTCTGAGGGGTCCGCTCTATCCATGGGAGAGCTCAGATGCCAGGAGCTCCTGGAGGAAGGAGTGGAGGGGGCTCAGTAGATGGCTAGGGAGAGATATTCTTGTCTTAGCGGCACCACTGCAATAAAGGAAAGCGACTGTTCCCTGAACATCTGATTTAATGATCGCGGAGAAGGCCATTACATCCCACTGGCCCTGTTACAGTACACACACAGAAAGGCCCTAGGTAACAGAGTGCCCTTTGCCACCACCTTCAAAACACAGCTTCCCCCACCAGCCAAGCTCCTAATCTTCAACCTCAAATCAAAGTCCATTTCTTCTGCCAGCTGCTGTGACCCATCAGGGGACAAGGACCCCACCTGAGAGTCCCAGCTCTTTCCTCTGTAGTTTAGCCTGAGCCAGGAATCCTTCCCCTCAGCTCAGCTCATAGAAGCTGGGATTTTCCTTCGTGGCAACCAAAATATCCTTAAACTGAGAGACCACGCAGCCAAAGTGTGACCCCTCCCAGAACACCTTTCCACACTGGCTGCAGCAGTAGAAATAAGATGGATCCGCTTTGTCCAGCATCTTGACTGGGATGGCTCCCAGCTGCAGGGCGGTGCCGTTGGCCAGTGTCAAAGACTCCATGTTGAGACCCGACTCGTCCAGCCACTGGCAGTTTGGGTTGTAAACCAGCTGTGGAGAGTCAGATTCTGGGACAGTGGCCTCTGCATCCATCTCTTGTTGCTTTTCAGTGCTTGCCAGGCAGCCTGTGGAAACAGGGAAGAACAAGCAAACCCTTGAAATACTGAGCAACAAGTGTGATGAATGGGGCTGGTGCTCAGTAGCAGCCCCCTCTCACATGGCTTCTGCTACAGAAACCCAGTTCGCAAGGGGGGAGATTCTGGAGCGCAGCCCAGAGGTGGGTGGGGACAAGGTGACTGGAAGCTCCCTTCTGATTCTAGGGCACCTGGAGATTGCATTCGGTCAGACCAGGCTCCCTGGTGCTGCCTCTGGCTTCTGGCACAAATCTGCATGCCGGCTGCACTGTATGCTGGACTCCATGCCCTACATGTTGCCTTTATTGGGGCTTGATGAGGGAGCTAGAGGATGGTATAGAGCTTGTCTATGGCGACCCTTAGCAGCTCCTTCACCAGGGATGTTCTCCCTTGGCCTCACCTGGCTGCTACAGTGGCACGGAGAGGGCCATATGAGGAGGCAGATGGATCTGACCCCTACAGTCCCATTTCCAGCTGCTCCACAAGGCATTAGGCAACCCTGCTGACCACAATGGTTATGTTAGGCACGCAGTCCCTGGGCTGAGCTACAGCAATCACTGCTCCCCTGGATGGCCATGTCATAGGCACAACAGCTTGAACCCTGGCAGCATCTGATCTGGTGAGTGCTTTGGTCAAAGACCCCAAGGAGAGTGCAGGTGCTGATAGTTAGAGGCACTGTCTTGTACTGAACCAAAGACAAGATGTGCTGCTAGGGGCCCTTTGCTTATGGAAGTATTGTCTGTTATGTGTGCTGGGGAGCAGAGGGTCATGCAACTGGAGCTCATTAAAGATCAAATTGCACTTTCTGCAGGAGCAGGAGTATTATCCAGCATCTTGGATGAACTCCAGTTGGGATAATTGTACTCTGTAATTCCCCTGCCATTTAGGTGGATATGGTATTTTTCACTTCCTGACATATACTGGTGTGTTGTGTTGCAGTGTGCTGTTAAATGGGCCCTTTGATCCACCCCAGAGATGGCTGTATTTCAGATGATGCAAAGAGAAAGCACATGCATGTAATGTACTTTGGAAACCTTCAGCATTAAAGGTGCTGTGGAAATATAAAAGATCATTACGAGTTATTATGTGGATTAGTCACCAACTAAATGAACCTCTTGTAGCTTGCTCTATATTCAGATCCTAAAGGCATTAGGCACTGGACAGTCTATATGTGATGAGCGGAAACAAAGCAGCGGAAGTGCAGTTCTGCAACTGTTTTCTCCCTCTCCCAATGCTGCCCCAAAGGTGATGTTTGTTCAGATAAAAGAAACCCAAGAGGTGTGGGCCTCCCTGCAGGTGCTGTGTTGCTTCATGGAAATCTGAGGGCTCCAGTAAAAGTTCAGTCAGGGAACCAGCACCCAGCATCTTTGGTTGGATGCTTCAGAGCACGTATGCGCCTCCATGTGAACTCCCAGCGTGGGCGGAGGGAAATCTGCCATTGCAAACAAAGAGCCACAGAACCCGTTATGACTTTGGCAGCGCCGCTCAGGCTCGCACTGCTCATGTCCCAGCGATGAGGGCATGGTGAAGCCCTGGGATCCCAAAGGCGGAAGTCTCCAACTGACTTGACTGCCATCCATCAGGACGTCTGGCAGCAAGTGATGCAGGGAGGCGGACTGAGATTATTAGCCAGGGATGATTCATCCTTGGCAAGGGAAACGGTCTTGCCTAGACGTAAGTTATACAACAAAAGGCAACTTGCTTTTCTTCAGCATGACATCACTGAGGCTTTCAATGTGTTCCTCTCTAGGACACAGAGAACTTTATCAGCAGTAGTCCTCAGTGCTCCAGGCAGTGAAGTATAACAGTGCTAACAGTCAGACCTGGCTCTTCTGTAGGGCTCTCTAACCCTACATTTCAAAGCCCTCAACACAGATAGAACTTTTACTCCCATCCTATTGATAGCAAAATGAGTGCTAGGGACAGTGATAAACCAAGACTGACCCCAGGAGGGTACTCTGGCCACTGGACCCTAATATCATTTTGAAGGGGGTCTGGGATTCAAACCTAGGGTGATGCCACAAAGGAGAGAGCCTGGGTTTGAGACCTGCAGGGTCTTACAGATAGGGATGAAATAAGTTTTGTAGAAATGCCCCCTCAGCTCTGTAGGGATAGATTCTGTTTGGCACCTCCTGAGATAAATGGCCTAGAGCTAGGGGAGGCCCCATATACCATCTTTGCACCTTCCACAGTCTGTACCATGTGAGGACTCCCTGCTTCTAGTCTACAAAGTCCATCATGTGCAGCAGCGCTGTATCTGCAGTGCTGCAGCTGGGCATAAGTCTGCAGCTTAGACATGGCCTCTGTCACACTGAATAGTAAGAATAACGACTCCTAAGTAAGAACACAGCTGAGTACCCACTTGCCATCCTTCAACTCCTACCGTGCAATGCTCGGGCCCCACTCGGGGGTGGGTGTTCCACAATCTAGCGGCACTGCTAAGCCACATGCCAAAAGGCCTAATTATGCTCTGCTTGAACCTTGTGCTCATTCATTCCCATGCTAAACAGAAGCTAATTCCTACCAAACCGGAGGAAGGAGGGTCTTACAGTCTGAAGCCCTGGGCTGCCACTTAGGAGACGGGAGCTGTTGTTCCTGCTCTAATACTGCAGCCCTTGGACAATGCATAGCCCCTCCTGTGCCTCCATTTTCCTTCCTTTAAAATGGAAATGGCAACCCCTCTCTCAAACCCATAGTGGCATTCAAAGGCTTAAAGATGCCCAGGGTAGGAGCCAGCACCACTTCGCTTGGAAGTTGGTTCCAGACCCTAGCTGCCCTGACAGTGAAGTAGCGCCTCCTGATATCTAGCCTAAATCTACCCTCTGCCAGCTTGTGACCATTATTCCTGGTCACTCCTGGCAGTGCTCAGGGGAACAGGGACTCCCCCAATGCCTGCTGGTCCCCTCTGACTAGTTTGTAACAGGCCACTAGATCCCCCCTCGGCCTTCTCTTGTGGAGGCTGAACAGGTTCAGGTCCCGTAGCCTCTCCTCATAGGGCCTGCCCTGCTGCCCCCTGATCATGCGAGTGGCCCTCCTCTGCACCCTCTCCATGTTGTCCACATCCCTCCTGAAGTGCGGCGCCCAGAAC